GATAGAAAGAGCCCTAATGGAGAGTGGACAGGGGGAGGACAGGAGGGTTGGCAGAACAATAAAGGCAGATTTCAGCAACTTGCTGATCCTCCTCTCTGGCAGAGAACCTGCAGCCCACTGTCAGTTAAATAACCCTGAAGGTGTGACCCCGGCTTTGCTGTGACCTGGCTGCCTTCCTGCTTCAGGCTCCGTGGGTCTTCGTGGTCCTTGGATGAAGTATGTTTTCCTCAGAGGGCAGCTGATCTTAGTGCATCATGAGTTCACTCAGAAGTCCTTCCTCTCCAGAATTTAGGGAGTTTTACTCTCTGTAGAATCCCACTAAAGCTCTCAGACCACTCTATTATTTATTTATTTGAGACACAGTGTCACTTTGTCACCCAGGCTAGAGTGCTGTGGGATCATCACAGCTCACAGCAAACTCTTGGGCTTAAGTGATCCTCCAGCCTCAGCCTCCCGAGTAGGGCCTCCAGATGCCCACCACCACACTTGGCTAATTTTTCTATTTTTAGTAGAGATGGAGGGGAGGGTCCTTACTCTTGCTCAAGCTGAACTTGAACTCCTGAGCTCAAGCAACTCACCCGCCTCGACCTCCCAGAGTGCTAGGCTCACAGGCCTGAGCTACTGCGACTGGCCCAGACTACTCTATTATCTATTATCTGACTGTCTGTCTGAGACATAACTCCTAGGAGGACAGGCACTGGGTTTTGTTACATTTGTATCTCCTAATGCCCAACACACAGTAGGTCCTCAACTGACACCTACCCAATAAAGTGGTTCTGGGGACCAGTTTAAAAAGGTGGCAACCCCAGCATCCCAGTCCAGGATGCTCAGTCAAGTGGGTGGGCTGCTGCCCCTTACCGCCTCTATCACCTTCCTCCTCTTAATCATCCTTATTCATAGTACAGTTCAACATAATATTCCCAGGACTTCTTTTTTTTTTTTTTTTTTGAGACAGAGCCTCAAGCTGTCCCCCTGGGTAGAGTGCCATGGCATCACAGCTCACAGCAACCTCCAACTTCTGGGCTCAAGCGAGTCTCCTGCCTCCGCCTCCCAAGTAGCTGGGACCACAGGCGCCCGCCACAACACCCGGCTATTTTTTGGTTGCAGCCGTCATTGTTGTTTGGCGGGTCCGGGCTGGGGATTCGAACCCGCTACCTTAGGTGTACGTGGCTGGCGCCTTAGCCGGTTGAGCTATAGGTGCCGAGCCAGGACTTCTTGATTCATAGGCCTCTCTGAAAGATTAAATGAAGATACCACAGAAGAAAAAAGTACTTTTGGCCATTCTTTCTCAGAAGGTCTCTTTTCTACCATAAATGCCCCTGAGATAAGAACCCAGACAAGAGTACACCTCTGCGATAACACAAATAATACCGTTAGTATAAAGCACCTCACATAATACCATCTGGCCAGGCCCTCTGCTCAAATCTCCGGGTATTCCCAGGGTATTCTAGGGGCCAAGTTTTTCTGGTCCTGTCTTTGCAGATTGGTTGTTCTCCTGACCAGAGGCATCAGCACCACCTGGGAACTTGGCAGAAACAAACATTCTCAGACCCCTCTGGCCCCAGGCCTGAGGAATCAGATGTGCGGCACGCAGAGCCCAGGAGTCTGTGCTTTGGAGAGTCTCTCGGAGTGATGTGCACTGAAGCTGAGCCAGCTCACACAGCGCTCCGTTAATCGCAGCATATACTTCTACAAGGAACAGGAACACAGATTCACAAGGATATCGACCTTTCCTCCTAGGGCAGTATTACCTAAGTGTATTTTCTGGAATAATGAAAACATTCTTTCTGTACTGTTAATATGTAGCTACTGGCCACACGGGGCTTCAGGCATTGAAATGGGGCTAGTGGAAGTGAGGAACAGAGTGTTTAAATTTACTTATTTAAACAGGTAAATGTGCCTATTGGCTATCATCCTGGACAGTGCAGTTCTGGAAGATAACTAAACTATATAAGACCATGTTAACCCAGTGCCTAAAACCCCAGCAGTAAAAATCTTTAAAATATGTTCTGTTACTCTGCCATCTGTAAAGTGGAAGGTACCTAATTCGCCGATTCATTCAATTCATTCAAACATTTACTGTTCATTTAAAGTTTACTCTATCAAATTAATGTTTTGAAGCTTTTTTGAAGCCACGTAAAGCATTATGTAAAGTAGTATGCTTTCTGTTTAATCTTGGTAAGGCTGCAGACATAGGATTCGAGTTGATTTGATGTGAGATAAATTAGGATACTGCGGGCAGTAAACCATGTTCTAGTGAGTCTTGCAATGTATCTTTTAAGATTTAAAGAAAAAGGATATCTTGTAATAGAAGTCAGCCTCAAAAACTGCCAAGGGACCTTTCCTCTGTGGTGATATAAATCTTTCAGAAGGCTCTGTTTTACACCAGCCTCTGTTCAGGTGGATAAGGGGTCTCATTTTCCAAGACAAGTATATATTTTCATTCTGCTACCAAAAACCAAGACAGCCTCCCTAGATCTGCCCATCATTAATGAGTTTGTGTACAACTCATTGTTAAATCTGGATTATAGAAGGACAATGTTCAATTAAAAAAAATTGTTTTAAACATGACTATTAACAGTTTAGCCAAATCCAGACCGCCCCTAAACAAGATGGGCTCCTGTCTGCGTGTGGCCCCTAAGTGACCACGATTACAAAGCTCTTTCTCTCTTGGCCTTTGAGGGTGCAACTCTAGCTCCATACATTTAGGCTCAGCTGCTTCACAAGGAAATTGCCTGCAAGTGTGACTAGGGCAAGACCCTTCCACAGCAGTGGTGACCAAGTTCTCCCTGGCCCTGGACTGGCCTGCCCTCACAAGCCTCCTGGGATACCCAGTGCAGAGGCTGTAATACCTGCCCTGTCCTTGGCTCTGACTCCCCTCAGGACTCCCCAGAGAGAAGAGGTAGTTCTGGGGCCTTATTTCTCTGTTAGCTCTGAGGAAGCTGAATTGGGTTTAGGCATTCCTGGCAGGGCACTGGTGTCTCCATCAGATGGGCCGCAGCGAGGCAGAGCTCTGTCCTGGGGAGCACAGCAGTGCACACAGGACCCAGGGGGCTCTTCACTTTTTTTCACGGTCTCTGCCCTGAACGTATGAGCCATCACTACACTTCTTCTTACCCTAAAGACCCAGAGGTGATGGGCCATCACTACAGAGGTCTGGAGGGGGCAAGGAACAGAGAGGACAGCTGTAGGGAACAATTGGTGGGACAGAGGGAGCCTGGGTCAAGTCAGGCTTAGTTCTTGACTTCCTTTGAACTGGGGAAAAGGACTGTGACAGGGAGCAGGCTGTAAATGTAAATTGTGTACCCGGGTGAAAACTCAGACATCAATGGGCCCAGGGACACCAAGCCCAGGCTGTCCATCTTCTCTTCCTCCCCGACAGGCCCTAGCACTCCTTCCCGCCAAGCCTCGAGGTTCCTCACAGTCTTCAAAACAGCAGCCCGGGAATGAGGCTGCATTGCTTAGGAGTTTGCAAAGCAAACAAAATCTGACCCTTCCTGACCCGGGTTAGTCCCCCACAGGAGGAAGGAGGACTCCTGAATGGCATCAGCAGCGCTGTGCATACAGGTCCTCAGCACAGTCTAGCACTTCACATACAACAACTCATTTTACCCTTGCCATGACTCCACGAGGTGAGTCTAGCCTCGCGGGGGCACTGAAGAGGACATTTCCGGAGCTCCCGCCAGGGCTCTCATAAGCACAATGCTGACACTGCCCCTGCACAACAGGCCTCTGGTTTAGGCATATCTCAGAGCAAATGAGCACAGAAGTTTCAGAATATGGTATTGGTAGATTCATTAAAATCTGACATTTACAGGATATTAAAACCGTTTTTAAGAGACAATCATGGTAAAGGTGTAATCACATTTGTAAGTCTGCCGAATCGGACTACAAGAGCTTTTATGAAAAGTTCCAGAAATGTGGCTTACAGGGTAATGGTTTATGGTCAACTGCCTTTGATCTCTCATGTGAAAAATATGTACTTACATATATTGCAGGAAACCTCACCACTTCCTTCCTAAGTGTTGGTCAAAAACACTAATTACTTGACTAATTAGACTGTGAAACTTCCCTTACAGATGGTAAAAATGAGCTATTTTCACCCCACAAATTTAGTTGTGACATACCACCAAAAATGTAGAAATCTTTCAATGGTTTTATTGCAGACAGCATGAACAACTTAAGAAATCATAGAAAAATAAATTGGAAACTGATGAAAATGATCTGTTCCTTCATAGGGGAAATCACTCCGTCAGAGCAGGTGACTGAGGTAACTGAGGAGGCCAAGCAAGGAGGGGGCACCCGCTTGACAGGAGACTCATGGTCATATCCAGACACCTTCAATTTGGACCAGGGCATCCTGAAGAACTGGTCCATGATAACTTGATTTGCGACTTTGATCTTGGTTTTCAAGTACTTTTCTTTTTTTTGAGACACAATCCTCTCTGTCACCCTGAGTAGAGTGCCCTGGCATCACAGCTCACTGCCACCTCAAACTCCTGGGCTCAAGTGATTCTCCCATCTCAGCCTCCCGAGCAGCTGGAACTACAGGTGCCCACTACAATGTCAGGCTATTTTTTCTACTTTTAGTAGAGAGGGGGTCTGGCTCTTGCTCAGGCTGGTCTCAAACTCCAGAGCTCAAGTGATCTATTCGCTTCGGCTTCCCAGAGTGCTAGGATTACAGGTGTGAGCCACCACACCCGGCCCAGGTACTTTCCTCTACTCTACCAATAGTTCCACACTGAGGCTGCACTGTTCCTTTGTTCTCTTTCAGATGTTCCCTTCCAGGGAGAGTGTGTGCCTTACTCACCTGCCAGCCATGACGACACGGTCTGCTTTTAGCTCTGCACACACAGTATTTAAGAATGCCATATCAGCACCTTGGCCAAAAGTATTAGTATGGAATAAAAGAGCCCTAACCTAGTACTACAGCTCAGGGAAGAAAACTCCTCCCTGACTCGTGGGTGCTCGCAAGAGACTCCACACCACGGGACACTCACCAGCATCCAGGCTGCCAGTGGCTGCTGTCCAACCCATGACCGGTGGGATGGCCCCAACCACGGCCCCGACCCACGTGTTGGCAATGCTGATCCTCTTCAGTGGTGTGTAACAGCAGGTGTAAAGGAAAATGTTGAAGACCCCCAATGCTCCTGTGAGTGGATTCACCCCCCAGGTCAGAAGGGCGACTCCTGGAACAGCACAACAAGTGGCGAAGGACACAGCTAGCAGTGGGCTGGAAAAGAGCAGAGAATACCAATCAATCGTTTTTGGTTCAACTTAATTGTGCTGCCTAGAATCAATCAAGGCCAAAAGAGTACAAATTATCTACGTGTTGATGCGTGAGGCAACCTGGGAGGCAGTGTAGGGTGGACGTATTTTCTCTTGCAGGGAATTCACTTTACAAAACTTAAAATAAAGAAGCGTTGTGCTTTTGGGAGGTCTGCCTGCTACTGAGTTTTGCTGGCTGGCAGTGAAGAACGTTGCAGTTAAGAATGCCCTGGATCTGAATATAAGTTCTGTGCCTTCTTGGCTGCAAGACCTCTAGACTTGACTTTGCTCACGTCTACAGAGAGATTATCAGTAGTCTTGTTCAAAGGGCTGAAGTGAGGATGGAGCCTGTGCCTACTCTGCATAGTGTACCATTTCATAGTTAATGATAAGTAAGGGACAGTCTAGAATATGGTACACAATACTGTAAGATTCAGGCAAAAAACAGTGTTTTAACTATGGAAGCAATTCTTCCTATTTATTTATACTTCTTTTAAAACATTATCTACTTGGCAACAATGAGTACCCATGGTAAGCCCGAGTGAGTGCCATCATCATGAGATCTGTAATGAATTGCGGCTCGGCATGGCACCAGCTCCCCACAACAGGGACATGGCAGTGTTCAGGGACCCCAGCTCCCAACAACAGGGACACGGCAGTGTTCAGGGACCCCAGCTCCCAACAACAGGGACACGGCAGTGTTCAGGGACC